CCCTTTTCCCTTTTCCCTTTTCCCTTTCCTTTCCTTTCCTTTCCTTTCCTTTCCTTTCCTTTCTGAGTTATGTGTTGCAAGTACTTAAAATAGGAGTATTCCTGGCTGTTACAGTGGATGTAACTTTGAAAGTCATCCTGAAAATAAAAAAAGTCATCTTGACCAACTTTGTTTGGGCTTAGCCTGTTTTTATGGCTTTCTTTTATTTTATATATATCCAAAATGGACTGTAGCACATCTTCCTGGCCTGTCTCAGGGTGGGACGTGGCAGACAGGTACCACTCTCAGCTTCCCATACATATAACAGGAAAGCCCTGCACAAATCCCTCACTCTGAGAGCTTCATCTCCCAGATGTTCTGTGTTAGTATGTGGGCCCTTTGAGGATGAATGTTTACTCAAGTTCCAAGGAACCCCTGAAATGGAATCTGGAGTCACAGTATCTGTGAGCTTTCTTTTTGAGGTTATATTATTATAAAATATTTCCACTGAGCTGCCCTTTTCCTTCTCATCACTTAGACTGAAAAAAGTAGTATGCTAAAGAATACCATTTCCAGCTACCCCTCTCTTTGGCCCACTGCCCTGTCTAGGCTGTCCTAATTGTTTACAGGAGTAATGCAGGGATCTCCATCTCTAACCTTGACTTGAAAATTTGGGGTGCAAAGATGAGATCTTAACTTTGGAGTATCAGGGCTAGGAGTTAGAGATCATCCTCATGTACCACATTTAACATCTGGAAAAACTGAGACTGAGAGACAGGAAGGGACTGACTGGTCTAGAAACAGCATAATGTAGTGGCAAGAATGAGTATACTTTCTGGAGCCACAGAATTGGGCCTGGGTCATGGATATCTAGCTAATGAGCTGGGTGATCTTAGCTGATCACCTGACATTTCTTGGACTATAAAATGAGAGTAAGACCACCTCCCAAGCTTCTTGTATACCTCAGAAGAAATAGAGCAAAAGTATGTAGTAAATGTCTGATGCATATAGGTGTTAATATATTTTTTAGAGAGGGGGAGGGGGGCCAAAGGGAGCAGGAGAGAGAATCTCAAGCAGGATCTACACCCAGCATGGAGCTCCACATGGGGCTCAGTCTCGCAGCCCTGAAATCATGACCTGAACCAAAATCAAGAGTCAGAGCCTCAACTGACTGAGCCACCCAGGTACCCCATAGATGCTAGTATTAATTCTCCTGCATCCTGGACCACTGATTTTTATCCCTATCTTTATATAGGTCCTGGAACACACCCTGTGCCCAGGGCTTTGGTATAGTTTGCCTCATGTTCCATGAGTTCTGTGCACAACCTGCATTAGTTTCCTCCACTGACTGTAAGCTTCTTGAGAACAGGTGCCAAATCTGCCTTGGCATCTGACATATATCCCATGTACCTCTGACCTAGCAGAGTTACTGTGAAAAAGGGGCCTTAGAATCTCTGTAAAATTGAAGAACTGAATTAGCTAGAAGTCAGATGTGTTGGTACTTTTTTTTTTTTCTGACTATACAGCAAGAAGAGGAAGTTCTTTTCAGGCTATGAATAATATGGTTGTGAAGTTTCCTATTTCCTATTCCTATTTAATCAATGTATTTTAATAAATTGACAGAAGAAAAAAATTTTAAGAGACTGAATGTATTCTCTCTTTCTCTTTCTACAATTGTCTCCTTCTTGCCCTCCCTTGCCCCCTTTTTTACTCCTTTGGAAAGCAGAGAGACTTCTATTATTTCCTTAGGCTTACTCTTCAGGTATAAGAAAGAGACTAAAAGAATAGATCTGGGATGAAGGACTGATGCAGAAAGAGAAATTAATAGAGAAAAAGACAAGGAAAGTGAGAGAGAGAGAGAGAGAGAGAGAGAGAGAGAAACCTCATGGAACCAGAATGAACCTTGGTGCCTATTGGGCTAGAGAGCAACTGGCATAGAAGGAATATAGCAGTCCTGAGTGGTAGGGCTCATTTGGCCCAAGGGTGAACAAGAGTATGGGTCTTTGCCACTTGTGGAACCTTTTAAGGATTCCCAGGAGTCCTCTCTATCCCTCTTTCCCTGCCAGGCCTTTTCTGTACTCCTCTTGCCCCAGTCTATGCCCAGTTTTCAGTGCTTCCAGGCAGGTGACAGGTCCATCCCTTCTGCCTGGCTCCCTCTCACTATCACATGTTCTTCCCAGGGTGAGGACATCCTAGACAGGAGCTCGGAACTGATCTACACTGGGGAAATGGCCTGGATCTACCAGCCCTATGGCCGGAACCAGCAGCGGGTCTTCTTCCTGTTTGACCACCAGATGGTTCTCTGCAAGAAGGTAATCCCAAACCCTTCTTTCTTGAGGGAGATGGGAAATGGGCACCTCAGGAGCATCAGACCCTCCTTCTCCATTATCTCCAGCTCCCAATGAAGTGGTCATTATAGTAGGTGGGAAAAGATGCCAGTGGCTTCTAATTTTGTGACTCCTTCTTTAACTTTTGCTATTTTTCCCTCTTTGTCAATTTTTCTTAAAAAAATCTAGAATAAGACTCTTTGTTCTCTTTCTTCTTGTCTTCTGTGATGGCTGTCTCTGCTCCACTGCATCTTATTGCCCTGTTACTTTAATTATGTATGTGTTTTGTTGTTTTCTTCCAGAGATGATGGAAATTATTTTGCTGCTTTGGGGAATTTTTCCTTTTCTTCTCCTCCCCCCCCCCCAAAGGAGAGGTAGAGATCCCCTTTCCTTTCTCCTCAGTCACCCACTAATATTCTACACCTCTGAAGTTGTTCCAAACAGCTTTTTCTCTGTATCCGTTGTTTTTAATTATACCCTCCTGGACATACTCTGTTGTCCTCTGTTTCATAACTACTAGTTACTTATGTTAGTTCCATTGTATTTTAGGAGGATCAGGCACTAAATAGAGTATAACAATGCTGGAGGGAAGACTTCTTCTGTTCAAGGAACTTTCTGCATCGGGCCATTTCTTCTTGTATTGAAGGGCCCGACTTGGAGGATGAGCGATTTGGAACTCAGAAATGTGACAATAACAACAGAGGTTAGGGAAACAGCAGAAAAGAGATGCAGATTTGAAACCAGAACATCTGGGCCCTAGGCTCTACTGTCTCTAACCTTGGGCCAGTTTTGTTTTGTTTGTTTGTTTGTTTGTTTGTTTTTAACTTTATGTTCATATTTTCCTCAGCGCCAAATCAGACTGATGATAGAATTCATCTCAGGATGTGTTGAGGAGGACCACCTAAGGTAGTGGGAAGTAGTAAAGTATAGTGCTAAGAGCATAGGTTCTAGGGCCAGCCAGAAAGGTATCAACTTTTCCCATGAGCTGTGTCTTCTCTGTGCCTCACATTTGCAGAATGGAAATCATAATGGTATCTACAGAGAAGAGAAGTTGTGAGGGTTAAATGAAACAATATAGTTGCAGTGCCTGGCACATAGTATTTAGTAAATGTTAGCTATTGATATTTTTTAATTACTGCATATTTGGTGTTACTATTCATTCATTCAGCAAATCTCTTTTGAGAGACAGTATATGCAATAGTTGAACAAGCACAGATTTTTGAGCCAGGTAGTCTGGACTCAAAGCCCAACTCTACCATTTAGTACCTTTTGTTCTTGAGTAAGCTTCTTAACTGTTCTATCTATAGTACCTCATAAAATGGGGTTATAACAGTACCCAACTTGTAGGATTGTTGTGAAGATTATCTGTTAGTAAGTGCAAAACATTTAGCTGCTGAGGGATGAATGCATGAAGAAAATGTGATGCATGCCTACAAACACACACACACACACACACACACACACACACATTGTGGAATATTATTTAGCCTTTAAAATAGAAAAGTGCCTGTCATTTGTGACAACACAGACGAACCTGGAGGACATTATGCTAAGTAAAATAAGACAGAGAAAGGCAAATACCATATGATCTCACTTTATGTGGAATCTAAAGCAGTTGAAGTCATAAAGGCAGAGTGGTGGTTGCCAGGGACTGGTGAGGATTTGGGAAATTGAGAGATACTGGTCAAAAGGCGAAAACTTTTCATTATGCAAGATGAATAGATTTTGGTGAGCTAGTGTACAATACAGTGCCTAGAGCTAACAATACTATATTGTGTACTTGAAATTTGCTGAGAAAGTACATCTTAAGTGTTCTCATCACAAAAAAGTAACCATGTGAGATATATATGTTAATTAGCTTGATTGTGGTGATCATTTCACAATGTATACATATAACAAAACATCACAATGTATACCTTAAATATATATAATCTTTGTCAATTATACCTCAATAAAGCTAGGGAAATGAAAAGCATTTGGAATAGTGTCTAGCATATGATATATGCTAAGTGTTAACTGCTACCATTGTTGTTGCTGTTATTATTCTGTTATTAAGAATGTACTCTAGGGGCGCCTGGGTGGCTCAGTGGGTTAAAGCCTCTGCTTTCGGCTCAGGTCATGATCCCAGGGTCCTGGGATCGAGCCCTGCATCAGGCTCTCTGCTCAGCGGGGAGCCTGCTTCCTCCTCTCTCTCTGCCTGCTTCTCTGCCTACTTGTGATCTCTGTCAAATAAATAAATAAAATCTTTAAAAAAAATGAATGTACTCTAGATGCTGGGATGAAATAATGAGAAAAATAATTCCAGTCCCATCCCTATGTGCCTTCCTCAGGCTCTGGAGAAAAAACCCAGGGTGGTCAAGGCTAGGGGTGGGCAGTAACTGGGGCCCCTCTCTAAAAAGACCTTACTGACAAGCAAGTGAGACAGACTACAGTCCCTAAGAGTTGCATTCCCCTGATTGCAGCATCTGTCATTTATACAAAATGTTTGCAGTGTCTTGCTAAACCCCATGAATACCCAGTGAAGTCAAATTCAATTATCTCCCAACTGTTTGAATTATATAATGTCAGGAATTGGAGTAGGTTCCTTGCTGGATCCATGGATAGGCTTGGTGCTTGTCTGCAGACTGCCAGGGACTTTCTGGAGAAGCACTGGTGCCCTTGATATCCTCCACCTTGGATGACTGTAAGGGAAAAAGAGGAAGGCTGGCACGCTATTAGGCAGGGAACTTGTGATGACCTAAATAGCATCTGTGGTGAACACCTATTCACCATGTGCCTATGAAAGCACTCAGACCACCATTAACATGTGGCATTTGGGCAGCCTGGTCCCAATGAGACCTTACACAAGCAGGACTCCAGAGGGCTTTTTCCCCTTGCCATGTCCAGAAGCTGAGCAGAGAAACTTCCGAGGCTTTGTCAGCTGTTTTTCCCTGGGAAGCCCCTGAGTGAGGCAAGAGCAAGGAGGGTATACTACTTCAGCACAACTTAATAAGCAGACTACAAGTTGTGAAATGGAACTAATGTAACTCAGGAGTGTTGTGGCCGAATTTAAGTTGTATAAGAGTCTTCATTATCAGTGCTAGCATTCAGAAAAGGGAAACTGCAACAACTTGAGCTAGAGATGCCTTCAGGGAAGACTTGAGGAGGAAGAATGTGTAAAATTGACCTGAAGGCTGGAATTGGATTGGAATAAGAGGTATTGTTGGGGCAGGGAGGACACATTAGTGTGAGCCTAAGTATAGATCTGCAACCACCCCCACCCTAAAAGGATAAATGGAATTTCCAAGGACATAGAGGTAGCTATGTAAAGTTTAAAATATTCAGTTACTTTTGCTTTGATTTATTTTTGTCACAATATTTAAATTATTTTGAAAGTTTAAATGGATTAGGAAGAAAAAAGTGAGATTTTTAGGTTCATCAAAGGAGTTTTGAAGGCTTACCAAAAAAATTAGTCTGGGTGTGCCTGGATGACTCAGTTGTAAAGCATCTGCCTTCAGCTCAGGTCATGATCCCAGGGTCCTGGGATCAAGCCCTGCATCAGATTCCCTGCTTGGTGGGGAGCCTACTTCTCCCTCTCCTACTCCCCCTGCCGGTGTTCTCTCTCTCTGTGTCAAATAAATAAATCTTTAAAAAAAAATTATTCTGGGACCAAGAAAGCTCGGCACCATATTTATTAGACAAGGCTGGCCTCATGACCTGGAAATTGCATGTTTAGATTTGAGGTTTACAAACATTTTTAGAGAAAATTGAGGTGCAGAGAGATAAAATGGCTTTCCCAAGGCCATAGCTAGTAGGTTAAGCAGCTAGGAGTCTGTATAACTCACACTCTTTCCATGTGCGTTGCATGCTGCTTTGTGGCCTTGGCTACAATTTTCTGATGGGATTTTTTTGAACAGTAGGTCATACTTAATAATTCCTATCACAACCCTAAAATTGGCTTTATGACTAATCTTGTGCATGAAAACTCACATTCAACACTTTGGGGAGCTATAAAGAGTAGGCAAAGGGAGAACCTTAATGACACATTTGCCTAGTCCTATTCCCCTTCCACAGAAGCAGAACTCTCTCAAGTTTCTTGTTATCATTAAATAGCTAAAGAAACAATAGGAGTTTCAGTTGATGTTTTTAATTTAGCTCTAAGATCATGTACATCCTTTCCTGTTTTGGGAAACTAGTAAAGATTTTAAAGGCTAACAAGGATGATGACACACCAACTCAGAGTTAAAGGAAGCTGTAGGTGATGCTGGCAGGCTGGGTCCAGAGACCCAAAGGGGATCCTGTAGGACCAGCCAAGAGTGTTCTTGGCTTCATAAAGGTCGGAAATAAACCATGAGTCAGCAGGAGGTGAAAGCAGAGATTCCTGAAGATAGAGAGAGACCAGATACAGTCAGAGTTTCTGGGAGACTAAGAAAGGAAAGGTGGGAGTCTCATTTGTTCAGGGTCTGGGTGGTTTTATTGCAGATGGTGCTCTAATATAGTTGTCCTCTCAGGCATCTAGGTACCAGTTAGAACAAGGACAAGGGCCCAGATATTCTTTGGAGCCAGGAGGCCTTGGTATTGAGAGGTCTAGCCATGGTTGTCTAGAATACACACATGGTAGCTTTGTCCAGTCATTCTTATCTGGTCCTTCTTTAGATGTTTCCTATTCTAGAGAAATCATTAACTCCTGTCCTTTATAAGGAGGACATATGCTGTTTGCATTACGAAGCATGGGTAAAGTGGGATAGGGATGGATGTCCTAGCAAGAATAGAAGCAGAAAAAGGAGTGAAAAACCTATTTTTATGGAGTCTTTCAGTTTCCCTGTCTCATTGGGTGAAATTAGGAATAGTAGGTGGTTAAGGCTACCTATTCTAGTCAGGTGGGTATCTACCTATTAGCTGTACAGTCTAGACCTAGCTTCCCAGTTCTATGTGTATTTGTATTAAGTGTTTTAAGCCAGGTTTCAGGCCTTTATGAGATCAAACTAGATTACATCAATCCATTCTCCTTAGCTTGTCCTGCTTTTGTAGTTAGATTGGACTGACAGGGCCCACTTTTTATGCACATGTCTCATAAAGTATTCCTGAGGACTGTGGAAGTCAGCGCATGGGAACAACCCCATCCTTTTGGCCAGGATTGAGCTTGTCTATTTTGAGCATGGTAAAAGGAACCCAGGCTCTGAATCAGTCTTGGAGCAACATTGGCCCATTCTGTATAGTTGACTTTTTCCTCTCCTTTGAACTTGATGCCAGAGACACCCAACAAATCAGAACCCATCTGTACTCAGCACAGCCTATTTATATGCACAATTATTATGGGATGAAAAAGAACAATGTAGACATTGTTTCTTGCAAATCAATTCAACAACACCTGTATTTCATAGCCTTGGACTTTGAGATTGACACAGCTATGTTGGGAATTCTTAAAGACAGCCCTCCTCAGACATAGCAAAACACCCAGTTTACCATGCAGTGTGAAGAGTCAGGATTACAAAGGTAGATTCTTTGCAGGTAGCCTGCAGTTGAAAAGTGAGGCATGTAAGACAATTCAGCAGAATAGGAATAGTTTAACCAAACTGTATAATGTTAACAAAAATTAATGAGCATTTCTGATTCTGTCAAATTGTCTAAAAGGCCAAATATATACAAAGAGGAGGGAAAGTTGGCAAGAATGAGTTGGCTACTAGAAGACATCTCTCAGGACAAAGGATTTTCTTGGCCAGACTTAGTCACACATATGTCCCAAGAATAGATGTGTGTCATGGGCATGCTATGAAGGTGCACACATGAATTGTGTCTTTCCAGTGTCAACTTTATTCAATCATAAAGTTAATCACGATTATAAAGCAGGTTTAGGATTCCAAAGTCAATGACATTTCACCATGTGATAAAACTTGGCTTCTTACGCAACACAGGGTAGGACATAAGACAAAGCACACAACAAATAATAGAAGGGGTGTAGGAAGTTAATGAACCAAACATGAAGTGTGTCTGTGGGTGTGCAGTTGAGATAAGGCCTCAATCTGGTCTTGGTCAGCTCTCAGCACTTACTGCTTATTATGTTCAAGCAGTGAGGGATCTCAGTTCTGGTCAGAGATCAATCGGGTAGAGCCTTTGGTGGCAGTTGCCTTTTTTAAGTGGTCAGACATAGAGACTTCATGTCTGAAGAGTCTGATAGTTTGCTGCAAAAATCCTCCCCCTTTTAAAGGGATTTAATTGGTTCTGGGTCCCTGCAGACCTCCTTTGGTTCCACTCATTATCAGTTCTAGGGTGCCAGCTGATGCTGGTCCCAGCAATATCTTGTAGCTGCAGTACATTTAACTACCTGCATCATTACATGACACAGATCCCTGCTTGACATAAGAGAGTCCATTTTGCTCTCTACAGTGTGCCCTCAGGGGGAGTTGAGAGCAGTCCTAAGAGAAGGAGGGGCTGAAAGACCACTCTGAGAGATACTTATCAGACCTTACATTCCATAGTCTATAGGTCATTTCATCCATCCCTCTTTTTTTAATTCATAAAATATTTGACATTCAGAGTCACCTGGGTGGCTTAGTGGGTTAAGCCTCTGTCTTCGGCTCAGGTCATGATCTCAGGGTCCTGGGATTGAGCCCCACATGGGGCTCTTTGCTCAGCAGGGAGCCTGCTTCCCCCTCTCTCTCTGCCTGCCTCTCTGCCTATTTGTGATCTCTCTCTGTGTCAAATAAATAAATGAAACCTTTAAAAAATTTGACATTCAAAAAGATACATAGATTATATAATGGGTACCTATGTACTTACTATCCAATCTAAGAAATAATTCATTACAAATACATTCTTTCTCCTCTCCCTCTCTGCTCTTTACCTTTCTTTTCCTTCCTTCCATCTTCTTTCTCTTTATACTCTCTTGAATTTGCATGTGTCATTGTCATATTTTTTGTATAATTTCTGTAAATATGTATGTATTCCTATATATTATGTGGCATTCCTTTGTAGGTTTTTAAACCTCATATAAGTGGAATAGATAAAGATGAGATAAGACTGATTAGGAAAGAAACCACAGGATTGATGAACATGGGATTTAAGGTTGCTGTGACATCGTAGCTTTTATTTATTTTTAAAATTTTTTATATTTTATTTAAATTCAATTAATTAACATATAGTGTGTTACTAGTTTCAGAGGTAGAGTTCAGTGATTCATCAGTGGCTTGTAACACCCAGTGATAATTACATTATATGCCCTTCTTAATGCCCATCACCCAGTTACCCCATCGCCCCATCCACCTCCCCTCAGCAACCTTCAGATTGTGTCCTATAATTAAGAGTCTTTTATGGTCTGCCTTCCTCCCTGATTTTATGTTATTTTATTTTTCCCTCCCTTCCCCTATAATCCTGTTTTGTTTCTTAAATTTCACATATGAGTGAAATCATATGATAATTTTCTTTCTCTGATTGACTTATTTTGCTTAGCATAATACCCTTTAGTTCCATACACGTATATATAAATGATAAGATTTCATTGTTTTTGATGGCTGAGGAATATTCCATTGTGTGTGTAAGTGTGTGTGCATGTGTGCGTATGTGTATACACACCATATCTTCTTTATCCATGCGTCTGTTGATGAACATCTCAGCTCTTTCCATAGCTTGGCTATTGGGGACATAGCTGCTGTAAACATTGGGGTGCAAGTACCCCTTTGGATCACTACATTTATATCCTTTGGATAAATACCTAGTAGCATAATTGCTAGGTCATAGGGTAGCTCTGTATTTAACTTTTTGAGGAACCTTCATACTGCTTTCCAGATTGGTTGTAACAGCTTGCATTCCCACCAATAGTGTAAGAGAGTTTCCCTTTCTCTGAATCCTCATCCTGAGTTGTTCATTTAAGCCATCCTGACTGTTGTGATGTGGTATCTCATTGTGGTTTTGATCTTTATTTCCCTGATGCCAAGTGATGTTGAGCATTTTTTTTCATGTGTCTGTTGGTCATTTGTATATCTTCTTTGGAAAAATGTCTGTTCAGCATCTTAGCTTTTATTTTTTTTCCTTTTTTTTAAATTTCTTTTTTTAAATTTCTTTTCAGTGTTCCAGAGTTCATTGTTTATGCACCATACCCAGTGCTCCATGCAATACGTGCCCTCCACAAAACCCACCACTAGGCTCACCCAACCGCCCACCCCTCTCCCCTCCAAAACCCTCAGATTGTTTTTAAGAGTCCACAGTCTCTCATGGTTCATCTCCCCCTCCAGTTTCCCCCAACTCCCTTCTCCTCTCCATCTCCCCATGTCCTCCGTGTTATTCCTTTTGCTCCACAAATAAGCAAAACCATATGATAGTTGACTCTCTCTGCTTGACTTATTTCACTCTGCATAATCTCTTCCAGTCCCTTCCATGTTGATACAAAAGTTGGGTGTTCCTCCTTTGTGATGGAGGCATAATACTCCATAGTGTATATGAACCACATCTTCCTTATCCATTCGTCCATTGAAGGGCATCTTCATTCTTTCCACAGTTGGTGACTGTGGCCATTGCTGCTATGAACATTGGGGTACAGATGGCCCTTCTTTTCACTGCATCTGTATCTTTGGGGTAAATACCCAGTAGTGCAATTGCAGGGTCATAGGGAAGCTCTATTTTTCATTACTTAAGGAATCTCCACACTGTTCTCCAAAGTGGCTGCACCAACTTGCATTCCCACCAACAGTATAAGAGGGTCCCCCTTTCTCCACATCCTCTCCAACACACGTTGTTTACTGTCTTGTTAATTCTGGCCATTCTAACTGGTGTAAGGTGGTATCTCAATATGGTTTTGATTTGAATCTCCCTGATGGCTAGTGATGATGAACATTTCTTCATGTGTCTGTTAGCCATTTGTATGTCTTCATTGGAGAAGTGTCTGTTCATGTCTTCTTCTCATTTTTTTATATGATTGTCTGTTTTGTGTGTGTTGAGTTTGAGAAGTTCTTTATAGATCCTAAATATTAGCCTTTTGTCTGTTTTGTCATTTGTGAATATCTTCTCCCATACCGTGTGTTGCCTTTTTGTTTTGTTGACTGTTTCCTTTGCTGTGCAGAAGCTTTTGATCATGATGAAGCCCCAAAATTTCATTTTTGCTTTTGTTTCCTTTGCCTTTGGAGACATATCTTGAAAGAAGTTGCAACACCATAGCTTTTAAATTGAGCAGCAGGTTCACCAAAATTTAATGTATCATTAAAAGTAAGTAAGTAAAAAAAATGAGGAATAAGAGCACCTTGTGTGAACTAATGATGAGTACCTCATAGACTGAGAGTATTTATCCAATTCTGGATACCAGAGAGTAAAACAACAATAATAAAAGATAGGCTATATATTGTCTGTATCCATCTACACTTTTATGTGTTTCATGCGGTAAGATTTGTGAGATTCATTCAAGTCAATATATGAAGCTATTTATTCACTCTTACCCCCACTTCCCCTGCCAGACTAGGCCTTCTCCAAAATACCCCAGAGTGCTAAGTGTTCAATCATTTCCATGTAATCCTTCCTGGCCAACAGCCTGTGGCCACCTTGGTACTCTTACCACTCATCCCAAGTCTGATATGCAGGTCTCCTTAGCCTGCTTGAATTCCCAAGTTCGCCCAAGACAAACATCTAACTTATTTCATAGTTCTGGAGGGCTTGCAAATATTTTAGAAAAGAAAAGGCCCATGCTAGCAATGCTTGTGTGGTTTACTACATCCTGCTCCCCATATATGTGTCTTATAAACACATACAAGGATTGATGCTGTGGTCTGAGACAGAGTCCTTGGTTGTAGGACAAAGGCTTTCTCTAAGAGCATCTAGTTAACCAAGATATCAATGTCATACTGCTAAACTAACCTGCCTAAATTTGACCAAACCAACCCCTTATGGTACTCCAAAACAATGGCAGCCTTAGCATCCTGCTGTGCCCATGAGCCAACTCTCATGGTACCTACTGTCAACATACCTCCAGTAAAAAGCCTTTTCTTCCTTTTCACCTAGGACCTGATCCGAAGAGATATCCTGTACTACAAAGGCCGCATTGACATGGATAAATATGAAGTAGTTGACATTGAAGATGGCAGAGATGATGACTTTAATGTCAGCATGAAAAATGCCTTCAAGCTTCACAACAAGGAGACTGAGGAGATGCATCTATTCTTTGCCAAAAAGCTGGAGGAGAAAATACGCTGGCTCAGGGCTTTCAGAGAAGAGAGGAAAATGGTACAGGAAGATGAAAAAATTGGTAAGTGACCTGAGAAGAGAAAGAAGAATATAGCTATGAAGAGCATAGAGGATTTGAATTAGTTTTCATTTTTCTAGAAGCAGAGGGAAGATTTCAGTTGTAAACTGACCTAATCTATTTTGGTGATCTCCTATTATTAGGTCCTTTTTGCCAGATATCAGTTTCTACTAGTCAAAGTTAAGTGAGAGTTATAATTTGCCTCCATCACAATCTCATGCCTAGATAAGACTATTACACTGGAGGCAAACCTCAGTCTCAATTCTCCCAAACATACAAACATTTATTAGCAAATAAACACAAAAGAAGTCATACAACCTGTTCTGTAATCTCAGTAAAGTCCCATTTTTGTTCTTAGATACATGGCAGCATCTTCTGTGAAGAGGTTAGTCAAGGAAGAGTTGGTGATATTATAGCAACAAACTTCAACTAACTTTCTACTTAGAGTCTGGTGACAAAATCCTCTGATGTGGGATAAGACATAATACCTATTTTAAATCTTGAGCTTAAGGCTTCCTTCTAAAGGGTAAAAGCTATAGGGCTCACTAGATTTTTATACCGGTCTTGTGAGGGCTATGTAGACTGTAAGACATTTGTTGCTAGTACACATCTTGAAAAACATTCATTTTACCAATGAAAATTCATTTTTAACATGTTAGGCTAATTAGGCCTCCTGTATTAAAGTGACTGAACTGCTGGAAATAGTCGTCTCTGGAACAAAGACTTCTGAGTGTTTAATGTGTTAACAAATCACCTCTTGAGTGTGTATGCCTGATTAAGGCACTTCAGATGTTAACTAAATGCCCCTAGAGCACAGATTAAAATTAATGTGCATGTATATATCACACTCTCTGTATAAAAGCATTTTAAAATAAATTGTAGAAAATATAGCTGGGTCTAAAACCATGATCACTTGCATGATTCTGTTATACTAAACCATATATATATATTTTTTTTTTGCTTTAAATAGGTTGTTCCCCTTTTTCAGAGGGTACATAACTAGTAGAAGGATTTTTCATGCTGCTTTCCAACTGTGGGATTTAGGTGCCATTGACTATAGCTTTGTGGTTTACAAAGTACTATATGGTCTCTTGGTCATGGTCCTGCCATTCTAGCATAAAAATACCAAACAGCCAAGCTTTGTAATTCCTTGAGAAGACACAGTTTCTGTTTTTGCCCCACTCTTAATGAGAGTAGGATTTTTTTTTAATTTTTATTGTGCATGTTAGTCACCATACAATATATCATTAGTTTTTGATGTAGTATTCCAAGACTCATTGTTTACATATGACACCCAGTGCTCCATGCAACATGTGCCCTCCTTAATACCCATCCCCCACTCCCTCCCCTCTAAAACCCTCAGTTTGTTTCTCAGAGTCCACAGTCTCTCATGGTTCTTTTCCCCCTCCGATTATACCCCCTTCACTTTTCCTTTCCTTCTCCTAATGTCCTTCATGTTATTCCTTATGTTCCACAAGTAACTGAAACCATATGATAATTGATTTTCTCTGCTTGACTTATTTCACTCAGCATAATCTCCTGCAGTCCCATCCATGTTGATGGAAAAGTTGGATAGGATTTTATATTTAAACACTTACATGCTCAAGCTGGTAGAAACTGCTTCTAGAAAAATGGGCCTACCCATTGAGTTCTGGTGCAAATGGATTCTTCTCTCCTTCAGTGTTGGGGATTTAAATGGTTCAGACATAAGGAAGGATGATCAGAAAGACACTACTTAATCTAATCCTAGTTCTTTCCTCAAGTTTGGATAGAGTGCACATTAATAATTCATTTTGAGGGGTGTCTGGGTGGCTCAGTGGGTTAAAGCCTCTGCCTTTGGCTCAGGTCATGATCCTAGGGTCCTGGGATGGAGCCTCGTATTGGGCTGTCTGCTCAGCAGGGAGCCTGCTTCCTCCTCTCTCTCTCTCTCTCTCTCTCTGCCTGCCTCTCTGCCTACTTTTGATCTCTGTCTGTTCAAATAAATAAAATCTTTAAAAAATAATTCATTTTGAGTCTCATTGAAGCCAAATAGCTTTTAACATGAGTGTTGCAATGGGACATGATGTAGGGTCATACAGAAATACTATTGGACTGTTTCTTTCAGTGGCAGGCAGCAGCAGCCTCTGATACCATCTAGGTTGTTAGACCTATTAAAGGAATTGTCTTAGTGTGCTTTATGTAGACCCTAGGTCAACTTGAAGATCCCCACCATTCTGTCTGGTTCCATTGTGATATTTCCCACACAATGCCCTAATAACCTGTAACTTTAAGAATCTGCTTCTAAGAAAAAAAGCCTCCAGAAAGTATTTTTTAAATATTTTTTCAAGTTTTAATTTAAATTCCGGATAGTTAACATAAAGTGCAATGTTAATTTCAGGTGTACAATTTAGTGATTCCACACCTACACACAGCACCATATGCTCATTATAAACTGTACTCCTTAATTCCCATCACCTATTTAACCCCTCCACCAGAGCACCACCCCTCTGGTAACAATTGCTTTTATCTCTATATTTTAAAAAATCTCTTTCTGGTTTCCTTCTCTCTTTTGTCCCCCCATGCTCATTTTTTTCTTAAATTCAACGTATGAATTAAATCATATGGTATTTGTCTTTCTCTGATTTATTTAGCTCAGCATAATACACTTAAGCTCCATTCACGATGTAGTACACACACACACATACACACACACACACACACACACTGGAATATTGCTCAAGCATAAAAAAATAACAAAAACTTGCCATTTGCAATGACATGGATGGAGCTACAGAAATTACTTTCTGACAAACCTATATTATCTTTTCTAAAACATTATTTTTTTCTAATTACAATGATATCACTTTTGTTGCAGGCAATTTTGGGGAAAAACACAGAAAAATAGAAAATTAAAAATCACATTAAAACATTCTACCCAGAAAGAGATAACTTTTGTAAATATTTGATATATTTCTTTCCTGTTCTATTGTGTATAAATAAAATACTAGGGCTAAGATGGCTGAATCTTTATGTCTCCCCCAAACTCTACCTCTCCATGATGAACAGTTCTAATTTTATATCTTCATTCTACATTTAATGTCATATCATTAGCATTTCTCTAAATCATTTATTTTTAAAATTTGTGTTATTTTATTTAAAGTCAATTAATTAACATGTAGTATATTATTAGTTTCAGAGGTAGAGTTCAGTGATTCATCAGTGGATATAACACTCACTGTTAATTACACCACATGCCCTCCTTAATGCCCATCACCAAGTTACCCCATCCCCGCATCTTCCTCCCTTCCAGCAAACTCAGATTGTTTCCTATAGTTAAAGGTCTCTTATGGTTTTTCTCTCTCTCTCTAATTTCATCTTACTTTATGTTTCCCTCCCTACCCCTATGTTCATCTGTTTTATTTCTTAAATTTTACATATGAGTGAAATCATATGGTATTAGCCTTTCTCTGACTGACTTATTTCACCCATAATAATACCCTCTATTTCCATATATATATATATATATATATATATATATACATACATACCACATCTTCTTTATTGATTCATCTATTGGTGGACATATGGGCTTTTTCCATAGTTTGGCTATTGTGGACATTGCTGCTATAAAGATTGAGGTGCCTCTTCAGGTCACTATGTTTATATCTTTTGGATAAATACCTAGTAGTGCAGTTGCTGGGTTGTGGGTAGCTCTATTTTTAACTTCTTGAGGAACTTTCCAGAATGTCTGTACCAGCTTGCATTCCCACCAACAGTGTAAGAAGGTTCATCTTTCTCCACATCCTTGCCAACATCCTTGTTTCCTCATAAGTTAATTTTACCAGTCTGACTGGTGTGAGATGGGATCTCATTGTGCTTTTGATTTGTATTTCCCTGATGCCAAGGGATTTGCAACATTTTTTCATGTGTCTGTTGGCCATTTTTAGGTCTTCTTTGGAGATGTATCTGTTCATGTCTTCTGCCCATTTCTTGACTAGATTTTTTTCTTTCCTGGGTGTTGAGTTTAATAACTTCCTTATGAAACTTGGATACAAGCCCTTTATCTGATAAGACATTTGCAAATATCTTCTCCTTTCTGTAGGTTGTCTTTTCGCTTTGTTGATTGTTTCTTTTACTGTGCAGAAGTTTTTTATCTTGATGAAGTCCAAAAAGTTCATTATTGCTTTTGTTTCCCTTGCCTTTGAAGACATCTTGAGCAAGAAGTTGCTGTGGCCAAGATCAAAGAAGTTGCTGCCTGTGTTCTCTAGGATTTTGATGGATTCCTGTCTCGCATTTAGGTCATTCATCCATTTTGAGTTTGTTTTTGTGTATGGTGTAAGAAAATTGTCTAGTTTCTTCTGCACATGGCTGTCCAATTGTCCCAATACCATTTGTTGAAGGAATGTTTTTCCATTCCATGGTCTTTCCTGCTTTGTTAAAGATTAGCTGATCATATAGTTGAAGCTCCATTTCTGGGTTCTGTGTTCTATTCCATAGATCTGTGTGTCTGCTTTTGTGCTGGTACCATACTGTCTTGATGATTACAGCTTTATAATATATCATGAAGTCTGGAATTTGATGCCACCAGGTTTGATTTTATTTTTCAACATTCCTTTGGCTATTTGGAGTCTTTTCTGGTTCCATACAATGTTTAGGATGTCATCCGTTTTTGATGTAGTGTTCCAAGAGTCATCGTTTACGTGTAACACCCAGTGCTCCATGCAAAACATGCCCTCCTTAATACCCATCACTGAGCCAAACCATCCCCTGAAACCCTCTCTGCTAAAACTGTCAGTTTGTTTCTCAGACTCCATAGTCTCTTAATATTCATCTCCCCCTCCTATCACCCCCCTTCATTCTTCCCTTCCTTCACCTAATATCCTCCATGCCATTCCTTGTGTTAGGATGACATACTATATGGTGACTAACGTAACATAATAAAAAATAATAAAAAATAATAAATAAATGGTGCTGGTATTCGAGATCTATAAAGAACTTCTCAAACTCAACACACACACACACAC